ACAACACTAGGATGAGCATATAAACTTAAAATATGCCAAAGAATGTTACTACTTGCCCAAGAGAAAATAATTCCACCTTGACCGGCAAAATTATAGTGAAACTCTTTTTTTAAGATACGGTTAATGCATCAAAATTGTAGCAACACTATATTAGAAATTCAGATTAACTTAAATAATAGGTAAACTGAAAAGAAAGGGAAATAGAGAGAAAGGTTACCTGTTGGTTAATAGGAGCACCTCCATAAGCAACAACCACCTTAACACCTGTTTGATAAGAGAACTTCCTGGCTTCCTCATGTATCTGCAATAACAAACACTGAATATAAATTCCAAGTTGTTAATAAAAGCACATCATTTGAATTGTCAAAATAAGACACCCACTTGCATTGACAGCTCCCTAGTCGGAGAGAGAATAAGAGCTAATGGGAAAACTGTGCGTGCTCCACGTAATGATTTTTGTGGAACCAGGCCTCTCATAATTCCACTGATAATTGGAAAACAGAAGGCAGCTGTCTTTCCAGAGCCAGTCTGAGCACATGCCATCAAATCCCGTCCGGCGAGTGAAATGGGGATGCCATACCGCTGAACAGGTGTCGGCTTCACATACTTGCACCTTCGGATGTTTAGATTCAGAGCTTCACCCAAGTCAATCTCTGCAAAAGTATTAACAGGTGGTGGAATGTTGTCACCACTTGTCTCCACAGGAATGTCTTCATAGGCATCAAAGTTGATTGCAGTGTTCTCTTGTTCACTAAACGCTTGCTCTATATCATCATCATTTCCAAATGGATTAACTTCCCTATCCCTCCCACGATCCCAACCACCACTTCTTCCACCCCACCCACCAGGTCGACCACCACCACCATACCCCGAACGGTTGTTATAATCATTCCTAGGAGCAGCCCATCGAGATCCCCCTTGTCCATGTCGGTCATTACTTGAAGCAGGGCCAGTGGAAGTAGGAGCAGGTGGGTCTGCAGAGGGTGGGCGATTACGGAGATGTGGAGGCACATAAACAGGTCGACCACTACCAGAAGCAGAACCAGAAGCTTTGTTGCTATCAGATGAAGAACCAACACCTATATTATCAGCTGCAGAATTTGCAGCCAAATCTGCCCATGATGTTCGGGTAGTCATTACAATTCACAAGCACCCGAGATTCCAATTTTTTTCAACAAAACCCTTTTTAGTCAAAATCCACCAAGTTAACTTCCCCAAAATGAAATTTGTCAAGCCTGAAAAAAAAACATAAAACCCATCAAAACAAATGAAGTAACCGTCACCCAAATGCAGCACGTCAATGTAAACAATCAGCTCAAAAAAATACAAAACATAACCGGAAACTTAATATACAAAACATAAACAACGATTTATTCGATTGATTGAAAAAAATGCTTCTGTCGCATAATAAAAAAAAAACCCAAGTGCAAATTTATCAAGATATTTATTAAGAAAACTGTAAAAAGGGAAAGAAAAATGAAACGAACCCGATCTTATCAATACTTTGAACAAACAAAAGGAAAATACAAAAACCCATAAAAGATTCAAATGCACAGACAAATTTGAGTAAATATTACATATCCAGAGAGAGTAGCGAGCAAGAGATAGATGGAAACCTGATAATGAGAAGACCCTGAAGTCTGTCGTTGAAAATACTCAAGATCCGAACAGAATAATAAAGGAAAAAAAGAAACCCTGATATTTATGCAGACATAGAGCCGAGAAGAAATATAAAATGAGATTTTTATTTTTTAAAAACTTCTCTCGAGTTTCTGTATATTTTATTTTATTTTCCTTCACATGTTAGAAAAGTATCTTCTGGCGTTGTTTCTGCATTAGCCGAAATTCGAATTTTCTCAGAAATTTTTAATTATATGTGATATTTTTATTAATTTATAGTAAATATAAGATATGATTTATTTAAAGATAAAATTCTCAATACCGATACAAATTAGTTATACAACGTGAATTAATTCAGATTAATCAAGTGAAAGAAAAAAAAAATTTACTATCAATATAACTTAGTTCGCGTTAAATTATATTTAGAATTAAATTTATGAAAAATAATTGAACTAAATAATTTCATATAAATTAGATATGTCCGTACAAAATTTGCGGCTAAGAGGGAATGAGTGGTCTCAAAACGCACCCAAATTTGGTAAGTTACACCACTGATTTTACTGTGCTGTTAAAATTACGTTTATCCCCCGAATTACTCCTTAAATTACGAATTTGACAGATTTTAATTTCTAAAGTTTAAACCAAAATATATTGTGTTGTTGAATTAATAAATAAAAAAATTACGGTTAAAGACAAATTAAGAAACAGCATGCCTTAAATTTATGCTCAATCACATCATTTTCTTTTTCCTTGCCCCATTTGCTTTTCTACAAAAGTTGAAAGCAACCAAAATGTATTAGAAAAATTATAAATAAAAATTTCAAATTATATTATTATTCTTATATTTAAATTATTTTAGAAGTGTTTTTCATTAAATTTTTTAAAATAAAAAATACTAAAACAACACGAGAAAATGTTTATTACATATTAAATCTCATATTATATATGTATATATATATATATATTAATTCATGAGTTTATATAACCTTTTTAGGATGGCATCTCTTTACTAAAACAGTACTCCGTTATTCTTTTAAATAAACTTTTTAGGATACCATTTGAATAAATAATAAATTAATATTATTTTTATTAATTAATCATATCAGCTTGACAGAACTACTCAAGTCGAAAAGTAAAAAAATCCCAAGTAGAGATCGTTGGATTTTATTTTCTCAAATACGGTTGCATCTATAGTATAGTGTCAAAGACAATTAGACCACCCGGTATTTTTATGAAGACACATGAAAGACTCGATGTTTTAACTAAACAAACATATGAAAAACGTCGTATTTTTCTTGCATTTTTGTCAAAAACATCATATAATCCAAACGTCTTTTTCGACACTGACATTCACCTATTTAAACAAATAAAATTCACACCACCTTTATGATTTTTTTCAACACATCATCCAAACAAATTTACCTAGAACACATGAATAATAATAAAATTTCTTAGACAATGCATTGGAAAAAATAATGACTTAAATAAAGTGTTAGGAATTTTTTTTTCAATTAGGGTGTTTGCTACAATGTAAGGATAAAGACATAAGGAGATTTGATGATCTTAGAAAGATGCATGAAAGATATGACGAATTCGGAAAAAATACGGTGAAAGATAAGATATTTTTCCCCTGTTATATATGATCCTGTGAGTTGTGTAGTTCATAAGTCGTTATTAGGTTGTTCGGACATCTTCTAGAGGTCGTCAGATGATCTAGGCATCTTCTTATTTACACTATAAAATATTATTGATTGAAAAAAAATATAAAATTTTAAAATTTTAAAAGATGTGAAATTAGATAATTAATATAAAATATAAAAAAATTTAAAGTATAAAATAACTTAAAAATTCTAGGAATAGACAGCACCAGAACCCCTCAATCCATCCCAAAACTTATTAAAATACAATAACTATTTGAGCACTCATCTTCGTATTTATGTGCACCTTATCTGGCGCATCACCAATAATCCAATACTCCGCTCATGATCTTACTCAATGGACTCCCTTTAGTAATATATTTTTATATTTCAATTATAAATATTCAGATTGTATCTCCGCTACTGTTGTTCATAACACTGTTTTCTGAAGAGGTGAGAAAAAATACTCGATCCGGTTGACCTGACTCACCGACCCGAACATTTAAAAATCGGGTAATTTCTAAAAAAAATTACATGACCGGGTTGGATATCTAGCCAGACATTTCTCAGATCAGGCCCGGGTCACAAAATTGTGTTTTTCCGGGTATACAGTTAGTTTTTATTTATTTTATGGATTATATATATATATAATATAATGGATTATTTATATTATAGATTATTAGATTTTGTATTTCGAACTTTTAAATTTTATGTTCGGATGTTGAAGTATGTAATTCGAAGTTCCGAACATTTAAATTTGTGTATATTTTTTAAAATTAATAATTTGAAGGAAAAAAACCCGGATACCCGCAAAATTCAGATACCCGATTATCGAATACCCGCAACATTCAGGTCAAGACACGGGCCGAAAAATCACCGACCCGGATATTTTGGGTACCCAAAAATCCGGGTACCGGAGTTTGCGAATCCCTAATTTTCCTAATTTTCAGTTTATATGCTTTAACCTATTTCTGAAAAAAAAACCTTAATTTTATAACATACTCGAATAAAATTAATTAATTTGATTATTGGTAAAAAAATAAATGGCGAAAAGTAGGTTACTATACTTTTAAAAAAACTAATATGGATTTTGTATTATTTTTTCTTTTAATGTAATTCTTCAACTTAGAAAATAAATCTATATGGTTCTTTGATTAATGTTTTTCCGTCGTTGGTTGTTCACAGTGCTGACATTACAGTCCACAGTGCTAACGTGATAGTCCATCTGTCATGTTTGAGTTACTAGTTTAGACCATATGTCATGTCATCTGTCACGTTATCAACCAGTGAACTATTACGTTAGCACAGTGGACCGTCATGTCAGTATATTGAACTGTCATGCCAGTATCATAATGGTTAACGACGACAAATATTGATCAAAGAGCCGCATTTAATTTATTTTCTAAATCGGAGGGTCACATTAGTTTTTTCTAGAAGTACAGGGACCTCTGATGATATTTTCCAAAATAAATAAATCCAATTAACCTGTCATAACTGAATCCTTTAATCAATCTAAATCAGATATCCAAGCAATCAATTGAATTGATCAAATTACACAATCAGTTAAACAAATCTTAACTGAATTTTTCTGCTCGTCCTTCACAAACAAACATTAGCCTCTTCACCATCTCACCATCTCTCCCTTTCTTTTTTTTTTTTTATTTCTCTCCAGAAATTTTAATTTTCTCCTATTTGATTTCTCTTTCTGAAAAAAAAATTGGATTTTTTTATTATGAAAAAGTAAGTCGTGAGAACTTTTTGGAATTAAGGATAATTAAAACAAACATGGAGTATTCAAATTCACCTGATAAGTTGGACAAACATATTTCTCAGCTGATGCAGTGTAAGCCCTTATCGGAGCAAGAGGTATTTCATTTTCATTCTAAAATGGAATGGATCTATTCGGAATCGATTTATTTGCTTCTTGATCTGTGGATAATCGATTTCCTTTTCATTGATCCATTTTGTGTGTGTATTTTTTTTTATATTTGGTTGAATTCATTGCTTATCTGTTCTTATTTTGTTTTTTTTTTCAACTTCATAAATTAGATTAAGCAGCTATGTGACAAGGCTAAGGAGATTTTAAGGAACGAAAGCAATGTTCAGGTGTATCTAATTCTATTTTGTTTCTTTTATTGTTTCCCCAATATCATATTTTTTAATGGCGGTTTGTGTTTTCTCGATTCATTTATTTTTATTTGCAGCAGCATTGCATCTATGGCGGGATTCTTGTGACTCCATTTATTTATTTATTTTTGGTGCAGGACAGCCTGTTAAAACCCCTGTTACAATATGTGGTGATATCCATGGGCAGTTTCATGATCTTGCAGAGCTTTTTCGAATCGGAGGGAAGGTGATTTTCTGATTGAGGCTGCTAATTTGTGTATCAAATGTGATTCTAACTGTTATGAACGATTTGAAAAAGAAGACATGTATTGTTTTCTTCTTGTCCGGCATTCATAAATCATGATAACTACCATCATGCATGTGTAACCATGCTCCTGCTCTATAGATTTTCCATTACTAATCTGTATGGAATAGGCTATTCACTTGAACACCGATGCTTGTAATTTAAAATAATACTCATGAAATCAAAATGACTTCCATGCTTTTGAACAAAGATGCCAGTAATGTAAAATGATTTCTTGGGATCAAAATGACTTTCATACCTTCTAAGCTTGAATTGATTTTGTTGTTCCACTGCTGTTAATTCTTTTTCCATTAGTTCATTGTTTCATTTTTAACATTTACTTTTTGGTTCAAAATTTATGGTCAGTGTCCAGACACAAATTACTTGTTCATGGGAGATTATGTTGATCGTGGTTACTATTCGGTTGAAACTGTAACAGTAAGTATTGAGTTGTCCAGCTTTTTTTGAATCTGTTCAACCTGGAATAATTTATTCTTTTACTGATTTTTTTTCAGCTAGTGTTGATCTCTATTAAGAACTTACTTTCTCTTTGCTGATTTAAGTTTGTAGTGATTTTTAAAGAAATATGATGGCTACATGATTTTCTCTAAAGTTATATTAATGGCAGTTCTTCTGATTAATAAGGTTCTTTGTACGATGAATTTAAATAGAAGCCACATATTTTGTATTTTTTTTCATCTTAGGTGGTGGATGTTAGCATTATAAAGATCTCCACATGCTTAGTATTTTTTAGCTGAAAACATCATTACTCAAACAAGTTTGTATGAGTTTTTTTGTTGTAATATGTTCATCATCGATACTCAATCTTTGTTCGTATGAAATAATATGATGTTCAAAACATGAAATAAGTATTTAACTAAAAGCTAAAAATAATGAAACGTGATATTCAATATTATGCGGATTCATCAACAATGTATGGGAGTCAAACAAGAAAACAATGAAACTATAATCAATAAGTTGAATTTTTTCCTGTTAACATAATTAATCTAACCAACTTAAGGTGGAGTCTTACATATACCTGTATAATTGTGGTGATTTTTCATTCTATGAATTATTTTTGTTCAGAACCTTAATTCATTCCAGTTATTTGGGCAGTGCTGAGGTTTCAACTTATAATTTGTTTCTGATTGACTTTTATTCAGCTCTTGGTAGCCATCAAAGTGCGTTACCCCCAACGGATTACAATTCTGAGGGGAAATCATGAGAGTCGTCAGGTTTGTTATGTTTCTAAGTGATTGTTCATTACACATATCTTTTTTGTAAAAAAAATTATTGTCATTCTCTTTTTCCTTTGCAAGTTATTTATCTACTTGATGGTTTTATATTTAAAATGCAGATTACTCAAGTGTATGGTTTTTATGATGAATGTCTAAGGAAGTGAGTATCTTATAATCTTGCTCTCTCTCTCTCTATATATATGTGTTTGTGTGCATGTGTGAATTGTGATTTCTAAAGTTCATTAGGCTTAAAGGCTTAATTTGTCTATTGGGACTGCTTGGAAGGTAACCCGATTATATTTATCGGTCAATGTGGACAGCTTTCATGCATGAACCTAACATGATAAATAGAAAACAAGTAACGTACTATGATAGGGAATTAGTGATATGCTGGTGTAAGAAAATTTTTGATTAAGTTATTTCGATCTAGATGTACATATATAGACACGTACATATATGCTTATTTTGCAATGAAGTTGCCTAACATTAAAGGGTTCTTAAGTATTTTGAGAAGGCAGGATTCACTTAACATGTAATTCTGGTTTTGAAAATTTATCGTTGTTTATATTTGCAGAAAACAATTAATAGTTTCCTAACATTATGATGGTTCTGTTTTAATTATTCTTTTATTGAATTACTGGTCCTTATTTGAAGGTATGTTTTCTATTTTGATTGCAGATATGGCACTGCAAATGTTTGGAAGACTTTCACTGATCTATTTGATTATTTTCCATTAACAGCATTGGTTAGTATATTATTTATTGTTTGATGTTTGCTATGATCTTTTGTGAACTTTTAGCTTGAAATTAGAACACTAACTTGGGTTTGCAAATGTATTCTTTTTGTTATGTTTTCATTTGGCTTTTGTTAATGATTGATTCTAAGCGGCAGACTTTTGGGGTTTCTGAAGGTCGAATCTGAAATTTTCTGTCTCCATGGTGGGTTGTCTCCGGCAATTGAAACCCTGGATAACATACGTAACTTTGACCGCGCTCAAGAAGTCCCTCATGAAGGTCCCATGTGTGATCTATTGTGGTCCGACCCCGATGATCGATGTGGTTGGGGCATTTCCCCAAGGGGTGCTGGATATACCTTTGGCCAAGTATTATTCATTTCTTTAGCTTTCTTTTCTAGTTTTCAAGGATATATTTTTTTTCATAATTTGCTATACCATATTAATTTTTACGGTACTCCAGGACATATCCGAGCAATTTAACCGTAAAAACAATTTGAAGCTTATTGCCAGGGCACATCAGCTGGTCATGGAAGGATTCAATTGGGGTCATGTATTTACTTACTCTTTGAGTGCTGATATCAGATTTGTGCAATTCCCATCATTAACTCCTTTTGGCAGGAACAAAACCTTGTTACTATATTCAGTGCACCTAATTATTGCTATCGATGTGGAAACATGGCTTCCATCTTGGAAGTTGATGACTGCAAGGGTCATACATTTATTCAGGTGAGAGCTTTATGTATATATTTGCTAGCACATCCGTATATAAACAGTTTACAAGTATTGTGTTGTTGCAGTTTGAGCCAGCTCCGAGGAGAGGAGAGCCCGATGTGACCCGCAGGACACCTGAATACTTCCTGTAAAGGGAAGTGCCGCCGAGTTGATGAGCCTCTGTATCTGGTGGCCAGCGCTCTGCAGTGAGGTTGTGCTGAGAGCTCCTTTCAAAACTTAAGATAAAGATTGGCTGTCTGCAATGGTGGTTGTTCGGTCACAGCAAGGCTGCTTGTGGCCAATGAGGCTTTGTTTCCTTCAATTATGGTTCTACAAAGACGAGGTCGAAGAGCTGAGCCCAACACTGTGGGGGCGAACGCATCATTTCTGGCAGAATGTGAGGTTTTTGTTTATTTCATCTGTAGAATAATATCCGTTTTGAGTGTTGAGGATCTGTAGAAGGATGCTGAGAACATTTTCTTAATGATTAATCCATATGATTTTACTCAATCCCAACTCGTAGTGCATTATGATCATGCCTAAAAGTTACAGTTTTACTTGACGCTTATGCAAATTATTTTATACATAGTTCAATAAAAATTCATCCTGCTTAATAAAAATTCAATTTCAGAACATCCCACGTGGTATATATATATATATACACTTCACATCCTGCTTCTGACAGACAGTTCATGCTGTATTTGGTCCCTCAATACTCTCCTAAGCAATTTGTTTGAAGCAGTCCGGGGAAACTCCGGGACTATCTTCACACCGTTCACCTGTTATCGATAAAATATCAATATGCTTGTATTTTTTCACGCAATTGAAAACGACTTTAATTTTGACTTTTGAATCCGAGAATTCTGATCGAGTTATATGGTGATGCTTGGTTGCCGAAACTACATATGAATGAAAAGATGTTAAAACATCGAGGAACCGAACCTTGAACAAGGGGCTGAGGTTGGTTTGAATGGCTTTCGATAACACCGTCTTCAGCTTCCCCGGTTGTTGATCAAACCCTTTCTTTAGAACCACGAAAATCACCAACAGTTCCAGACCACCATGGGTGGTGCCACACTGACTGCAGCAGTCTCTGAGATGCTTTCATCCGCGCTGTCACAAACACGTTTGATTTCAACAGAGCTTGTCTGCAAATTTATGATATAGTTTGCTTAAATTACAAGGCTACAATTGGAGGGAGGAAGGGTGGAATACCTTAATGCCACCAAGATTCATTGTGTCATCAGATTTCCTTGGACAACAAGATAGCCTCCGACCATTCTCTTGAGGATATCCCCATGCCTCCTAAGGGATGTCAAGAACATGTATCAAATCATAAGATAGCTGGTCGAAGCATTCGTCGAGGGGAGAGTACGAAGCGGTCGTTGCTTGAACATTGTTCTAAGCAATCTTTCTTTTTGTAATCCCCGCTTCATCGAGCATTCGACAGAACTATTATTGACCACAGAATCCAAAAACCATACCATTCCCTTAAATGTCGGCATTCCCTTGAAGTAAACATCCTCGTGATCAGCGTTAAGCAATCTATCAGTTGCTTCCAAGTAGTGAGGCAATAAATCAACTTCACCGACACAAGCTTTATCGTCCGGCTGTCACAAAGGCCAGTCATATGTGTTATATATGTAATCTGGGGAATTATCAAGTTCTATTAGAAATTGTTGCAAAGGAAACTGCACCAACTTTCGGATTAAGTTCTTACATAGGGAACTCCATGCTCATCCAAGATGACTACATTGGTTATCATCGATGCAGTGCTAAACGCTCCGAAAGCTTGTGGCTGCAGCGGACTCCCATGATGTAACATGATGCTAGCTTGGTGCCCCCGTAACATTCAAGAACAGGCTTGTAGTAAGATTTAGATGAAAGCCAAAGGTCATCATCGACATTAGAGGCTTCTCCAGTGCTAGCAAAAGATCTGCACCCGTAGAAAACCGATTACGAGAATTTTAACCGATGCAAAAGTTTGGTTTTTGGATAAGGGAAAGATTTGTCCAGTCTAAGCCTTCCATACACTTTGTATTCTTCCAAGTTTTCAGTAGACTTGGCACTGTGCCCAAAACAGTTACTCCTGCATCATGAACGAATTTCCCGAAACCACGGCCCAAAGGAGATCCATGATAGAGAACAAGGGTTGCACCGGTTAGAAAGCACGAGAAGAGTAAAATCGGTCCCATCACCCATCCTAGATTCGTAGGCCAGCAGTAAACATCTCCGACTCCGACATCATTGTGAATTAATGCTTCAAAAGAACAGCGAATTGGAGAGAGTTGTGTCCACGGAATAGCTTTAGGTTCCCCTGGTCAAGTCCAATATAGCATACATGAAAATCTCCAAACTGGTAACGAAAATGTACTGAATGTAGATCATAAATCGAAAAAATTTCCACCTGTGGTTCCGGACGAGAACAGTATGTTAATCGCGGAATCTATTGGCAGATAAGCCGGAGTGAACCGATAAGCAGAGATTTCCTACAGGATTGGAAGAACACCTGAGTGAAGATAGCCTTCACCTTCGAGACCTGCAAACGCGTCGCGATTTCCTCGGCAGCAAAACTATCGGCTATAGATACAACGACGAGTCCGGCTAAAACTATTGCCAGATATATAATAACTGCATTTACTGTCATCGGCATATCAATGACAATTGCATCACCCTTTCCGAAACTTCCCTGCAGTGCATTCGCCACCAGCCTGTAAATCAAAAATAAGCTTAGGAAATAAGAGTTGCAATGCTTGCAGGTCAAGTAAATGAAAGCATAAACGACTAGGTCTCGAAGCTGTTTAAGTGTCATACGGTTCACATCGGAATCATCGTCGCCTTCGTCTCTCCATACGATTGCACAACTATCGTCCTCTTTTCTTAGATGACTCGAGGATAACAAGCAACATTCGGCGATGTTCAAAACGGAACCGGGAAGCCAAATTCCCCCGGGTCTTGATTTATCAGTGGTATAATCCAGGATGCACTTGGGCGGCTCACGAAACGTAACCGCAATCTCTTTTAGTATGATCGACCAGTAAACCTAACCATCATTCAACCAGGAGAAAGAAGTGGTTAATTTGTTTGTGTTGCATGCTCCATAAGGAACAAGGAGAATAACAGCAACTCAGCAAGAGATCTTGTAGTTTACCTCAGTATGAAGCTCCCAAGAGCTTTGGACCGTGAGTTTCCATTATTCGTCCATGTTTGTAAGCTTAGATTCATGTCTGGGGAAAAAAAGGGTTTAGTAAACTTAGCTAAACAAGTAGAGAAAAGGGAAAGGGAAAGAGAGAGAGAGAGAGTGCAGAGAAGGGAAGAAGTAAAGAGGAGGGCCATGAACGGAAGCATCCCAATGGGCATAGACGGAGTAATAGACGAACTGGTGGAGTGCATGTGGGTGGTTCGGCTTCAGCACTCTGCTACTCACCACCTCTCTCTACATCTCTCTTGCCCGTAATTGGCCTGCCTTTGCTTTGGAAACTTCTTGTTTTATGAGTTGATGGATGTGTTGGGCCTCGTCGAAGTTTAATGCTCCGACGCCTGTCCGCCGGAGGTCGTGATGCTCGGTTCGTTGATGGTGCTTGTGTCATGACTGCCCGGTGTCTTTGTCTTCGTCTTCTACCGCACTGCAAATTAAGACCAATAAAAGGTTAGGTAAGAAAGCGATGCGAAGTAGGTAAACAACTGGAAGTAGGTTGAGCCACGTGATGTGTCCATTTTTCTTACATTTTTTGCACCAGCATGAGGGTTAAATGGTTTAACCGTCCATCATCAGTTACGGCCATTGATATAATCATATAAGTATAAAAATGGAAAAATGTAAGGTCCCACCGGGAGTTGAATTCAGGTCGCTGGATTCAGAGTCCAGAGTGCTAACCACTACACCATGGAACTAAAAACGTGCTACAGATTTTAGTTTTCATTATATAATTGATTTTATAAGATGCTCGTTAGACTGAACTTTGGAAAATATTTGATGGTCTAAATGTTGCATGGCGAAGATAATACATACACATTCTGGACATGCAATTGTCTAAATTCAGATTTTTTAAGAAGAATATTGTTTTTTTTATTATTTAGATCACTTGATAAATTTTAATATTAAATGATGTTTTAAATATTTTATCTAACGATTTAAGTGATGGTACTTGTAGAAAAACGATATAACTTAAATTCATTGAATGATCTCAATAGTTAAAAAGAATGTTATTGTCGCTTGAGGTTTAGAGTTAAAATAATTGTGTTTGCAAAGTGGATTTGTTGATTAGAAAAGTACCAATAATATATATTAGTTTATAGGGTAAACTACTTCAAACACCACTCACCTTTAGGCTCAAGCTCGTTTATGCCACCAACGTTTCAATTTGGTTAATTTTAACACTAACGTTTAAGTTTAAATGCAATTATGCCACTCCGCCGTTAATGGATTAACGACACGATGACATGACATCTCTATGTCGTGACGTTGTTGGCGTGGCTCCATCACCAAAACGATGTCGTTTTGGCATAACTGTATTTGGTACTGAAAAACCCAAAATGACGTAATTTTATTTGAGAAAATTTAGTAAGGTTATCCTTTTGAGGGGATTTGAACTCAAGACCTTTTGAATAAAAAATAAGGTTTAACCACTACACCAACTTAAAGTTTTGATTTAATTTTACAAACATAATATGCATAATATGAGTCAATATTCCAAAAGTTATTTTCTAAAAAAACCCCCATGAAATTATTAAAATTCTCAAAAAACACCTTAAATTCTAGAAAATCTCAAAAAAACTCCTAAATTTCTAAAAATCTCAATATATATATATATAAACTCTAAATTGTAATACCTAAAAATCATAAGATTTATTTTTTTGAATGAATTTAGGGATCACCAAAAATTATAAACTCCCTAAAAAATGAATCTTATGATGATTTTTTTTGGATTTTTTAGAAATTTAGGAAATTTTGAGATTTTTCTAGAATTTGAGGTATTTTTTGGGAATTTTAATAATTTCATGGGTTTTCTTAGAAATAAACTCCCTAAAAATGAATCTTATGATTTTTAGGGATTACGATCTAGAGTTTATATTTTTTTGAGATTTTTAGAAACTTAGGAGTTTTTGAGATTTTCTGGAATTTAAGGAGTTTTTAGAGAATTTTAATAATTTCATGGGATTTCTAGAAAGTAACTTTTGGAATATTACTCATGTTATGTATATTATGTTTGTAAAATTAAATTAAAATTTTAAGTTGGTGCAGTGGTTAAACATTGTTTTTTGATTCGAAAGAGGTCTTGAGTTCAAATCCCTTCAAAAGCATATTTTTACTAAATTTTATCAAACAAAACTACGTCGTTTTGGTTTTTTTAGCACCAAACACAATCATGCCAAAACGACGTCGTTTTGGTGAGAGAGTCACGTCAGC